GTACCCCTAAATTCTTTTTGGCAGGGCTATGCTCAACCTTTACATCTGCCAGTTTGTACTGATAGTGGGGGTTCCCTCAACCCAGATGCAAGACCTTGTGCTTGAATATGTTGAACATCATGAGGTTCTTCTGGGCCCACTGCTTAAGCCTTAAGTCCAGGTTTCTGGATGGGATCCTGTCCCTGGGTGCACTGACTACACCACACAGCTTGGTGTTATCCACAAACTTACTGATGGTAAACTCAGTCCCACATTGATCCAGATATTGCTATAATGACATTCAGTTGCTGTTGTTGAAAAGAATAATCCTTTCTATTGCTTGTTTATTGTCTCACAGTAGCTTGTGGATTAAACATACAGATTTTCTGTTAAGTAAGGCTTCAAGGTTCTAAAGGTTCTAAATGACAAGGTTCTAAATGACAAGCTTCTCAAAAGCCAAAATTTGTTAAAGGAAGAAAGCTTTTCCCATGGTACCAATATGAATAGCCACATAATTTGTTGAAAGTAAAACATTTCATACAATTAAACATGTTTGTCTTGACCCATTACCCACGAAATATTTCACAAAACCAATAAATTTTATTTTGTGAATTTAGGCATCTAATTCTGTATTTCACATCAAGAAAACATATCCATTATATTTCCAAATGATAGCATACATTTTTCTTGACAGAGAAGCAAACAATATATAAATGTTCTATAAAATTATAAACATTTGAGTTTGTAAAGAATAAAGGAGTCTGACATATAGTTGCAAACATTCATATTTTAGTAATTTGAGTAAAGATTTATTTTATTCATCTTCTGTGGCTCTTAAAGTTTCTTGTCAAGCGTACTGTCAGTTGTGCTTGCTCCCAGTGCAGCCTTCTTGATGTTTATCCTACTACATCATCTGTAAAAGACACTCCCTACTTTATGTTGCACTTCAGAGGCTATAGATCATATTAGTTTTCCACTGTAAGAGTGGTATTTTGTTGTTTCTTCCACATGTGTTGGGACACGTTTTCAGCTAACGTAAACTGCTGTAGCTCTAGCAAGGCCAGAGGACCTTTCTCACTTAAGGAAGTCTCCTTACTATAAACAGAAAACTGTTTTATATAGCAAGAATTGGTGTCCTATATACTAATCTGTATGTTTTCTTTCACAAACAAAAAACAGAAGAATTTTGTTTTCTAAAACAAGTCATTATTTTTATTTTATTTTATTTTTCTTCGCAGAGCTAAGGTTCTTTTCTGGCAAACATCTTGTAAGCACACGGGAAAGAATAATATTAAAAACATGAAGTTACCTGAAGAGACCAAAATTCTAATTGGTTGTTTTATCCTGAATCTCTTATGAGGAAGAATGTTCAGAGCAGAGCAGACCTTGTTCATCTTGCTGGCTTATGGGAGACTCATTGCTTTGAATATGGAATTCAGTGTCTGCTGTGTGTGTATTGCTACTGCTGGCAGGCTCTTGAGGCTTGTAAGGTTTTCTTATCATTACCAGGAGGGGAAGAGACAAGTGGTTTGAACACATAAGGTTCTTTCTGAAACAGCAAAGTTGAACACTAAAGAAGTTGGAGACTGATTCCTTCACAGGGACAAAATTTCATAGACAATACAAAAACCAAGTACCTTTTGCTTTAAATACATAGGCATCAAGAAAGGTGTATGGGATTTTTTTATCTTCAAACTTGCTCCTTTGTACACCAGCATCAACCACTGTGCAGTAAGAGTGAATTCCACGCGTTTAAATGGCTGATCCCTATGATAATAAAACTGTAAAATCACCAGTTACTAAATTAATTGGGGTTTTTCATTTGTTTGTTTTTTTGCAGGAGTCCATAAGAGAAATATTATTTCACAGACTTGCATCAAAGGAAACTGTCTCTAATTCTTTGCAATTTTTGAGGATGATGCTCCACGAGGAACTCTAGAAGGAAGATAGATGAAGTGTGGGCACCTTTCAATAACAGTGATTTCAGTAATTATCAAATGTTTAAGTGGCACTGAATACCTTGAAGGTCTGCAGACCCAGTAGGTCAGCCTTGAGGATCAAATCTGAAGTTTGATCCTATTCTAAGGTATGATTAACCCTTGCTGTCTTCGAGATGGATAATGGTACTTCAGAATTCATTGGCATTGGTTTAACTTCAGGTGAACAGAAAGGCTGGGTCACAACTGTAAGTTGTCTTCATTTATCTTTACTTTTATTATTTTGTGTTTTATCTAATCTGTTTCAATTGCAAATGTTTCTAATGATCAAAAAGGTACCAACCATTAAATATTTTTATTGTTTTGGATTAAAACTGGTAAATACTAGAAATGAGCCAGTTTGTCCTCATTTGGCTTCGACATGCTGTGTTTTAAAAGAAAGCACTGTACCCAATGGCTGCATAAAACATGATCTCAAGTACACTTTCAGTAAAAGTTTCACCTGTTCAAATATGTTCTTATTTTTAACCACAAATATAATTCATTTACTTTACAGTTTCACTAAACAAAAAAATAAGGAGAACACTTGTCCATAGAGAATGACATAACATATACTGCTAAAAATCAAGAACCCTAATTGCTTAGTATAAGATTCTCTTTTAAGGTTACTATTGAGATCATGTTACTTCAACTTGGTTTCTAGGAAAACCAAAGTTTACATGCTGATAATCATGAAACAACAGCAAAAAAAAAACAAAAAAACAAAAAAACAAAAAAACCCCACCAAAATCAAAACCAAAACAAACAAACAAAAAAAAACCCACCAACCCTACAACAGAAGAACTAACCCAACAGTATCTCTTCTTAGTTGTCTTATAAAGAGAGCAGTTTCAAAATAATATTTTATTATAGCTGAATTAAAAATACATAAGGTCATTTTGTCCACATTTTGCCATACAAAAATTGAACATAAACTTTAAAAAAAGTATATAATCTCCACAGGCTTATTCCTTTACACAATTATTTTCTGTAGCTAATCTTTTTATACTGGGGAACGAATTCATTAGCTGGAAAACAATTCATAAAGGATCAAACATTTTGTTTGTGTACCAGATATAACCTGAATCTGTTCATCTTTGAAAATTTCCTGTACTTAATTGCTTATACAAAATGATTCAAGATGCAAATTGATATTCACAAGTTAGCATGTGCATTAATTTGTATATATTTTTTTTTCCTTTGTACAGACATCTAAAAATTAGATTTATGGTAGTATTGAGTAATATTGAAGTGTTTTATTTTGTCTTGGAATCAAGATTGCAACATGCTTTAAAGTGCATTTCCATTGTATACTGATTTCAAAGAATTTTCATCCTGATGATGCATTGTTTTGTGGAAGGAGGGTTCTACCTCAAAGTATTGATTTGGTCAATGAACAAAAGAAGAAGTCATTTTTAAGTGTGTTCATTGGTATTTTTCCCAAGGTTAATACTTGAGAATAACATGAAAATCTGTAGGTAGATGATCTTAACCGGGTATTGTTTTTTGTTTGTTTTTGTTTTTCCATTTTTAAAGGAAAAAATTTGGAGAGAAGTTTAAAAAAAAAGGAAGTTTTCTCCTTGAAATTTGGATTATTTTTATACTGTCAAAATAAACTTTTCATTAGAAGATGAAAATATCATTTTCTTCAAACAGCTGTGTTTGGATTTAAGGTTGAAATTTCAGTTTTATCAAGGAGGAATTTTTTTGTAAGGAGAAAATATTGCAACTGACTATAATATATAATATATGCAGGATATATATAGGTACACATGCAGGAATACAGAGCCAGCATCTCCATCGGAGTAAGACATCTGAGTGTCTCTGAAGTCACTGCTTGCCTAGGTAACATCAGCTGTGAATCTCACCTAAGAATTTTTTGCTTAACTGATATTCACCTCTCTGTGGTTGCAAGAACACATTTCTGAACTACATAATTCTGATACAAAAGGCATAAGTATAGCAGAATAGGAAAGTTTACAGCTGACCACCTGCGCATCAGAATGTGTCAGTGGCAAGAAATAAAGGTATGTTTGTAATGTTACTCAATAATACGTTCTTTAAAAACTGCTGCAGGAAAAGTCAAGCTTGTCTTTGAGAAAGCAGCTAAAATTCTTTTCAGGTCTTCAGAAACGTTTTATTTTCAGTGTATCTCTTAAGACTACTTAAGACTAAGACGACAGAAAATGCTAATAAATTGTTCAAGTCTCAAGTGTTCTTTCAGAGTAGAGCGTTCAACATACCAGTCACTGGCCAATGTGATACTTCTCTCTGAGCGAGCAGTTCCAAATCCGTGTTTTCTAGGTGGTACTCATTTTATTTCTAAAGCTGTTAACAAATACATATACAAAAGATGATTCTACAGCGCAGTAACATTAAATGCATTATTTTAAGGCAAGCACACCAAATTCAACTATGCTGATGACTCTGAACTTTGAGGTTAGTAATGAGGTTCCTCACTGATGTTTATTGGTACCCAAATTTGTAAAGCTGTACCTAAACGTGTTTTAGTATGTAACTGCACAGTTCTACATAGCAGCTTTTCAGAATTATACAGTACAAGGCTAGTTAGCAGTACTACACAAGAAATGTAGTGAACAGCATTTCAGAACCTAACTTGATTCATTTTAATTGGTAGTTACACTGGAGAATATACCCTTTTGCCAAGTGCAACTTGCACTTCTATATTTCACTGTCTTTGAAATCTTTTGGGCAATTGCTTTTAAAACTTCCATGAAGTGTATCCTTTGTTAGGGACTGTGTAATTTAAAGATGATGGAGAGTCTCATTTGACAGGGAGCAGCTACTTTTGTTTTCCGTGCTTTCTCCAGACTGTTTCAAGTGATGGCATTTTATAATTTGTCTTAAGAGCTTTCACTGTGATATAGTGAAATGTTTAATTAAGAGGAAAGAAAACAACGCTTATGAATATGTAATTTCAGGTGGATGGAGTTGAACTGAGGGTATATAAAATTTGGATAGCGCTCTCACTAAACTACCTGAAAATACATTTATCAATGCCAGTATTCTTATGTTGATCTTCATAAAGTACAACACTTCTATTAAAGGTTTGATTCCAGAGAAGAAAGTAACTGTGGTTAGGGAGGTCTTTGCTACAACATTCAGAGCTGCATGTACTTCTGCTACACATTGCTCTGAATGATATAAGATGTAACTATGGGAATGATGGACCTCGGTGTTAAGCCCATTTATTTGTTCTGCTTTTGTGTGGAAAGGCAAACTGAAGACCAAGCTGGTCTGGTTGAGGATTTCTGAATCCTGTTTTGTCATTTTGTTCTCTCGGATTTGAAAATATCACTCTCTCCTTGCAAGGTGCCCAAGGTAGGTAGCCATCTTTCCTGTCTGACTGGTGACAGGCTTTCTCCAGGCGGGCGAGAATGTTGTTCCATAGGACCGTCCAGTCAAGGAGGAAACGTGAAGGGACTTCCCACCATTCTCTTCTAAGACAAAGCTTAGCAAGTAACTACAACAGAATTCAAGTTGGGTCAATTTAAGAATTCAGCAGAGAGGCTTCTACCATACCTAGCAGATCGGAACTTGAGCTCATGGTAACACTGCACAAAGCTATGATAAATGAAAGTGATTGGCAAGGCTAGTAAAACGATGCCACTAACGACGCAGATTCCTCCAAGAATCCTTCCTGGTACTGTGATGGGACACATGTCACCGTAACCAACTGTGGTCATAGAGATGATCACCCACCAACAAGCAGCAGGGATGCTGGCATAATCCTTATTCTTAGTTCCCAAGTCCAGCCCATTTTCAAGCAGCTGGGAAAGTGCACTGAAAATTGCCATAGCAACACAGATAAAGACAAGGAGCATCACCATCTCTCTGTAACAACGCTTCAGAGTCAGACCAAGTGTTTGAAGGCCAATGAAATGACGAGCCAGTTTAATCACCCAAAAAATCCTCATCATTCTTAAGACCCTCAAGGTGACTCCAGCCCTCTGGAGCTGCGAATTTTCCCCTGTAAAAACTGTCATTAGAACAGAGATGTAGTAAGGAGTAATTGCCAGTAAATCAATAATGTTGAGAGGTCTTCTGACAAACTCACACTTGTTCTTTGAAACGATGAACCTCACAATGCACTCTGCAGTGAACCAGCCTATGCAGATAGCTTCAATTATCCTGTCAAAAGAAAGAAAGTACAGCATTTATGTTCTGTGAAAGGGCTTTAGTGGAGGTTTGATGTTTTTTTTTTCCACAGACATTACCAAATTGACATTCAGACCTTCACAAATGACAAACAGAAAGCCACACTGTTTTTATTCTGAGTATGAAGCACCAGATTTCAGCAACTAATCTTAGGAACTAATTAGGAGTTTAAACTTATCCGTGCTAAGAACTCATTCACTGATGATTTTCTGTGGATTATATATGCCTATCCTAATACTGGAGAAATATGACCACAAAATGTGGGACCCTTGAGAAAATGGTGTGCCACCAATGCCAGTGTATAACATAATCTAAAATACTGCTTGGTTTCGTTTTAGATCTGTGAGGTTTGATCCATTTAGGAATGCCAAGGACTGTGGATCAGTGAACTGGCAATGTGTTGATCCAGACTGCTAAACTAGAATGAAAGTGAAGATGGAGTAGGTGGAAATCAGCTATTGCATCAGATAATTCATGCAAATTGGCTCTTTAAGAACCAGCTGAAACCAGTCTTATTTGCATCCCAAACAGAGGCTTACCTAGAACTGTATTCAAGGTTTCATAGTATTGCCACTGAAAACAGATAGTATTTTATTCTTCGCCATAGGGTAAACATAGTACCAAAGTAATCATCTAGTGTGCCTTTATTTACCATTATGGTTAGCATTACTGAATTTTATATTTTCTTTTAAATGTAACTCCCTCTAAACTGTGCCATAGCAAAATGTCGGGGGACAAAATGATAGGCAGGATTGTCTTCTCAAATACAAATAGCTGCCTTGATAAAAGAAAGCACTGCTGTCCTGGAGGGTGTTTTCAGTACTCTCTTGAGTGTTTTAAAGTCCTGCATGAGCATGTGAGACTTGAGAACATTTTCAAATTGAAACACTAGAAGGTAGAAACAAAAGATAAATTTTCTCTGCAATTATTTGATAACGGTTGTGCACACTCTATTGAATATCACATCTCAAAATATCCCTTTTCTTTAGGAATTCAAACTGCTGTCACTTGCTTGGATGGAATGAGAATTAGTATTTCCCTCTTTCCTTTGTTTGCTTTCACTAGCTTTTTGTGCAAAGAAAAAGCCACTCACCAGTACCATCTCTACCAACAGGCCTGACACCTAAGTGACCTTAGAGTGGAGACCTGAAAATACTAGATGCAACTTTTTTCTACTTCAGGTTTTCTAATAAGGTAATGTCTATAGGAACAGTAATGATTTGTAAGTAATTTTTCAACTGTCACTTAAAGCATAAAGTTTTGTTTCCTTAACACATTTACATATACATACATATTTACTGTTCCTGAAATCTGTTGACATTGTTGTTAAGACAGTGGGCTGCTAGAGAGACAGATTCTTCTATAACTGCTGTAATTATGTTAACAGACTATAGAACAACTTTCATAAAAGCTTCATACACTGAAGTTTTGTTTTAACTTTGTTTTATTCCTTTATTCACTTCAGTTATATACTAAAAAGTAGAGGCAATAGTAATAGTCAGTTGATGTATATTCATAACGTATGCTATGATTTCAGCCACATACCTTGTTATGATCTTATTTGTGTTTCACAAATACCAGTGAAAGCCCTGTAAAAAAGGGGTCTTTCTTAATAAAGGGCTTAAAAATTACTTGTTCACATTAGCAACCTCTGATGTAAGGACCCACGAATTTCAAAAATAGCTTTCCCTTAAGAATTATGTGTTCTCTTAAATACTGAGCCTTTGAAGACACTGGTGTTCTTGTGAATAATAATAGTGAATGGTAACTAGGTCAGATCCCAGTTTGGTTTTAAAAAGAAAGTTCGGATCATAACACCTTCTAAACAAGTCTTGTACAGAATATATGAAAGTTATTGTATGAATATGAATTATCATCACACCAAAAAATCTAGAAAAAAATGTTATTGGGTAAATTCACTTGAGTAGAAAATACATAAAGCTTTCTTCACTAAAAGGAGCCAAACAGCAAGGTTATGGCAATGAACAAACCGATGAAGGCTGAAAGTGCTTCTAAGTTGGCTGAGTCTTCCTGTAACTATTACAAGAAGAAATGTGGCTGGAAATAAATTTGCAGCCAGGAATATTCAATAATGTCAACAAACTTTGTTCCATTCCATCTTATTAGATTTCTCTGATAATTCTACATGTGACCTATGATATGAGCATTTAAATGAAAAAGCCATTCTTAATTTTATCATTAAAAATTGCTATATTTGGTATTTCCTCCTGATGCCCCTAAAACAACAGTGGTGTAATTCCTCGACTATATCCCAAATTGGCAGGTTATCTGTGAGTCAAGTCTTGAAGAAGCTAGGTCCTAATCATTGTGATTCAGTAGAATTTATCTTTATGAATCACAGCTGATTCAGTGTTCTGGTATAACTTTGGGAAATAGTTGTGTAAGTAAAAATCCATGTTAGATGAAATGTGATGAATCTATTCTTCTACTCCAATGATCCTGAGCATGAGAGATACTCTACATCAGTTACACTACTTTAGGAAGGACTGGAGAACCTTTTATTGTGGACTACAAGAGAGCTAAGGAACATCAATGATGTAAAAATGACAAAGCAGTCATTTTTATCAAAATAGTGGAGATGCATTACATCTGCTTGACAGTACATTGCACTTCCATTTCTCCATATATATATATATTATTAATCAATCCTTTTTGTCATCAATTACAACATACACTGGCTTGGGAGCTGACAAAGAAGGGTCTTTTCTTACTACTTAGACACAAGTGAAATGTGTTGTTCCTTCTCTCTTCTCACTTTTTTTTTTCTCATTTGTAGATGGATTTCAACCATCCTAATGAATCACCTAAGTGAGTAAGTGATTTGGTGAGCACAACTAGAAGCCTCTGACCTGCTGTGAGACCTAGAGTGCCACATACTATGTTTCCACTTTCAGATCATCTCCCTCTTCTTTATAGTAACTTATCTTTATAACTAAGATATATCCTTGTTAATGGAGAAATAATACCTAATAAGAAAATTAAAATCCTTAAAAGAATTTAGTATCAAGCTAAGGCCAACTGAAATTCACTAAAAAGACTGATGTTACCAAATTGTAATCAATTCTTAAAATATTGCTGCATGTTCATATGACAGACTGCCTGTTCCTGAAATAATAAGCTGCTTTAGCATCTGTATCTAAGTGTATAATTAAATCATGAGCTTTATTTGGTAAAATGTAATACCTATTCTTGTTTAGTTTTTGTTTTATCCATTCAGTTTTAAAATAGCTGATATCCAAAAAGGAGGCAGGAAATTAAAAACAAGCTCATGAAGTATTTATTTGATGTTTCCCCACAAAATCTGAATAACCAAAGAGAATATGAAGTTCTAATTTTTAATTAATTACAGGTTATTTCTGCTCAAAGTTACTATTCATTGGCCCAGACCTAAGTTACATAAAAGAGGATGAGATTTTGGTTTGTTTTTTTGTTTTTTTCAATAAATTGCTTCTTGGTACTTAATGAGTCTTTTGGCCATAAACTGACAGTGAAGATTTTCTGAGCTTCGCTTCCTCTGTAATCCAGTCAGTGTTTAATTTTCTGTTCCATCTGATAACTTCCTTTTGGATTAGGCAGTTTTATGTACACTAAATTAAAGTGCTTGCAAAATATTTTTCAATCACTAACAAGAATAGTTTTATGATATGATTTAACTTTTTTTAGTATAATAACATCGTAAAGTGTTTGATCTTGCTGTTATGCCTTGGCCCAATGTGCCAGTTTGTATACTTTTAATATTCCCTTGTGATTCAGTTGAAATCTCCCCAACATATTAATTTGTGGCACTGTTACTGATTGAACTTGTAAGTAGAACATAAACATCAACAAGACATGAGGAAAACATGAAACAGTTAAAGACAGTCTATGACAGGATTCAAGGCTGTTAGCACTGATGTGTTAAATTGTTGCTAAATCCTATTTCCATGTCACCTGAAGAACGTCCAAGCAGTAGCTAGAAAGATCAAACTCCTGCTCAGGAAGACTCGTCATCGTTTCAGCAAAAAGCCTTTTTTAATCCTTTTGAAATCAACAGGATTTCTGCCTGCCTACAAAGTGCAGAGCAAAGACCACAGAACAGCCAGTTTTGCAGACGTTTTCCCCTTCCCTCCCTGCTCTGGTAGCAGTATCTCTCAATGCATTAAATGTTGGTTAGTGTCTGCCTCTTGTGGGGAGGTGTAATGACCAGCACTGCCTGGAGAAGGGGAAAATGCTTCCCAGCTTCCAGGCAACATATGGATAGGAACATTCCAGCCCTGAGGTCATCTTTGTCACATTCTTGGAACATGGGATTAGCACCCAGCCTTGGTGAGATTGTTCAGGTTCCACTGTGGCCAGGGAGTGATGCATGTCCATTCTTTGTGTTATGTCAGTTTTTCAAAAATCTCTTAAATTCACAATAAGAATCCACATCTGGGTTTTTAAACTAAATCTGGAGTTCCGTTCATAACCTTCAGCCTGCTTTTAGAACTTAGGCAAAAATGTGGTTAGATTTTCTCCAAGAAAGAATTTCTTATGTTTATGAACAGTTGTTGAACATGAAAGTTTGGGTGTTCTGGAATAATAATGATTTTTGTGCCTCTAAAATTCAAATGTAACTTTTTAAGCTGATGTTTTGCAGACAGAAAAAAAAGCTGACTGGCATCTGTTGAGAAATGCTGTTTAAATTCTTTTGCCTAACAACACAGCAATCATATACGTGTGACAACTGAGAGATTATTTCAATGTCAATTTAATCATAAGTGGAAAAGAGGCAACAGCCTCTTTTTATGCTACCTAGCTACTCATAGTTAGTGAAAGAAAAATAGTTTAAAGACAGGTGGGTAGAACTGTGCTGGCTCTAAGTCAAGCAGCTTCAAATTACTTCCTGTCACAGGCTTAAACTCCTTCCAGAAGATGATGCTTCTGGTCAGTTTATGGATGGTTCTGTGATCAGAGACTCTCAGTATGCAACTGTTGGCATAGTTCAGAAGAGAGCAAAGATGACTTAAAATTGCCAGAAGCAACAGAAGGGAGACATGTGTCCCTCCTATCTGCTTCTAAACTGTGCAGATCTGATGCAAATCTTCAGTTCTGGTAAGCGAAACTTGCCAAGTTAGGGAAGAGAGAGAAACCATAGAATGTGAGAAAATTTTAATAGCTCATCCCTCATCTTAAACAGAGACCTGAGGAAGGCAATCCCTCTTCAAATGAGGGAATTATATTGTATCTGAGATCTGTGAAATTCAGAGATCAGATTCTTCATCCCTCTCTCCTTTAAAAGCCTTGGAGTTCTCTGCTGTCCTCTAAAGGGTGTTACTGCGAGGACCAAAACCAGACATACACTGTTCACCTTTTGACAGTCCTATCATAGTGAAAAGTCATAACAACATAAGGGTCTCTGAGAAGGATATGGTAAAAATTTGGTGGACTCAATTCCTCTTCTGGCGAAGAGGTGTTTGTATAATAGGGGGAAAAAAAAAAAAAGATATAAACACAGCTGGTATTAATTGGCAGCAGTAGTAACCCTTACTGCAAACATCATTAAAGAGGCTGATTTTGTACATTATGGAATTAGTTACTACCTTGCCCTTAGAAACAATGTCCAGATATGGAGGAGACACCCTGGCTGAGCAGTTTCCACTACAGCTGCCCTAAGCAGTTCTGTGGTGGTTACCTCAGTTTAGCCACAGAAATGACTTGTGTGGCACCTTTCCAGCCATAAGTAACATAACGTTGAGAAAAGGACAGGTTTTGTTTTGTTTTTGTTTTTTATTGGTAAACCTATGAAAGATTGAAAATATCAGCAAGATTTTAGGGTCACTGAATTTCCTGAGGTAATGCTCATCTGCTCTAAGCACTGAGTGATACTGATTTGAATAGTCAGTTCTATCCAAAATTGCCTTTCTGTTGAGTTCTGGATAAGCTCATTCAATTTTTATTTCTAAAAGTTTTTGAAATGTGTTTTTAAGGATAATGTAAAGTCTTTGTACTGGTTACTACGGTGCTATATGTCAAAACCCACCTCCAAATAGCAATAATGTCACAATTTCTCTTGGCAATAAACATTATTGCATATTATATGTTACGTAGAATTTCTTCATTTCAGTAAGACACCTCGCTTAATAAACAAAAGACAGAATTTCACTTCAAACTTTTGGATTGCTTGGAAAGCAGTGGCAAGTTTCTATGAGCGTTCTCACTGACAGGCAGTACTGCCAGAGTACATCACTATGTGCACTGCTGTGCAATTTCTAAGGTCAGACTTTCAGGTAAGCTGAAAGGTTTTGGAAACCTAAGGAAGTGTAAATGATGTGAAGTCAGATGACAACCAGATATATTAAGTCAAATCCTCTGGCAAGTGTCAATAGATGCAACTTAACTGGATTGCTCAAAAGCAACGGTAGCTCACTCCTTTTCTCTAGGCATCTCAGGCATTTTAGCCATTATGCAGCAGGCAGAACAAGGAAAGGAGTGACTCTTCTAAGGGGACAGGGCCACCTCAGGAGGTGACAAGCTGTGGACAGAAAAGAATATATTTGTGTCTGTTGTCAGTGTGTTCACATTTAATTGCTATTGATTAACATATAGAGATAGCACATGGGCTAAGACACATATTGAAATGAACCAGCCTGTGTGTTTGTGTGCAATGGACTTTTTCAAGAAGGTTAGAAATTCACAGCAACTTTTATAGTTATTATTGCCAATTCATAGACTACTACAGCTGGTCTTAAGGATACTCACCCTATTGTTGGCAGTGCTCCTTTCCTTTTTAAAAGCAGCCTTCCCTACTCTGGCAGGTGCTTGGCTATACAGAAAATCTCATGAGTACTTACGATCCCAACACCTGTTACACAATATACAATCAATTGGAGGAGAAAAAACTATGTGTTTCTATACATGTTCTTGAAAATGAAGGTACTACGAAATAAAAATTAGGTCATCTGCCTTGTCTGTCTGCACATTAAACTCTCAGTAAGTGGAAAATTGTTAATGTCCACATCATAAAGACGTGATCAAAGATATGGCCAAAGTGCCACTGATTCTATGTTGCTGTTGCATGTATTTTCCCGTATCTAATGGGGATATCTACACAATGTGCTGCCTTACACAAAGGCCATGCAGAGCATCCCCCATTTGAAGTAAGTCTGCAGAGGTTATGTAAGGCTTCCTAACTGGAAGAACGTGTAAAAGCAGCTTCTGACATAGCTGCATCTGGGCAGGAACCAAGAGCTTCTCACTCTGTAGCTGCTTTCTTGTTGTTCATACAATTAATGCTTTGGCTCGGCTACAAACAGAAATACAGGTGCACTTTCCATTAAGTTAATGGAAACTAGGAAAATACTTTCCAAGGAATTAATTTAACTGAATGTGATATATCACATTCCAATTAACTCTATGGTAAAAGATGGTAATTTCATAATGACGGGGCTGCAGTTTCACTGTGGGGCCCCTTGAGCAGAGTAGAAGCTGAACACTTTTTGTTGAATATTCTATTGGTTTTAAACGAAGAGGTGTGGGAAATACAAGAAGCGTTTACTTTAATCGGTGTTGTCTGAGGCTTATTTATGAGAGAACTCTTAGTGGAGCAGCGCTCATTCTGTTCCCTAGGAGAGCAGAAGATGGAGAGTGGTGATACCGAAGTCAGCAGAGTTACATGGCTGTAACCCCGAGCTGAGGTCACAAAGAGGAAAAACAAAGGGGTTGTTCTAGCTTGGAGGACTCGGAGCTAAGCCTAAAACCCGTGCTCTTGTTTCTGCAATTGTTTCACAATGTGTAGCGTGTTTACACGTGTTGTGTCTATAGGAAATGTAAACATCTGCTACGTTCGCCCAGCGGGGTACGGGATGAAGCATTGCAGGAGCTCCGTGCTCAGCCCGATCGGTCCGCTCAGAGATGCTGAGTGGCAAAAGGGGACGGGGTGAGGCTGCTCCCACATGCCAGATTTTACCAGGTCAGATCCGTCACACTGGGTCTGCTCCAGCAGAAGGACCTGTGTGAATAACCGAAGTGTTTTCCCCAAAGGAAAAGAGAAGGGATCAGCGTTTTTACAAGCTTCTATTCCCTAAATAGACAGTACGGTCTAACGCGATTTCCCGAGCGTGCGAACCTCTTTCTGTGGGTAAGGAGCCCCGCGGCTTCTACGAGGGAAGGCGCGGCAGCTCCGAGACGCTGCGCGGAGAGCGGAGCCGCGCGGTGCCCGTACCGGCGGATCCCGGCAGCGGAACGCGCAGCCGCCCGGGCCGTCGGGGCAGCGCCCTCTCCCCAGCCCCCGGCTCCCGCTCCGGCACTTGGGCTTTCTCCGCCGCGGCTGCAGCTACAGAGAACGAGGACGAGCGGCAGGACAGACGGGACGGGACACACGGGACAGCGGGAAAATAAAGGATCCTCCTACCCTGAGGGCTCCCTGACTGACTCTGCTGTGTACCTGCTCTGCTCCTCCACGCTGCGGTTCTCCGGCGCCCGCCATTCGGGCAGGGTGCTGGCGCACAGCACCACCATGGACACGATGACGAAGAGGATGGAGACGGTGGCCAGCACCTGGGCTGCCAGCGAAGACGTGGGCTCTTCGAAAGTCCGCCGCATCCTCTCCAGCCACTTCCCCCCTTCGGCTGCCGCCGTCCGCCGGGCTTTGCCCCTCGGACCGGCGCTGGGCTCCCCCGGCGGCTCCTCGGCCGAGTAATAGGTGCACGTCTCGGACATGCGGTCGTCGAGGCGGCGCTGGCAGCAGTAGTCGAGGTGGGAGCCCTCCAGCCCCCAGTAGATGAGCTCGTTGTAGAAGGAGAGCTCGCACATGTGCGGCACGAAGCGGAGGTGCCCGTGCCGCACGTAGAGCATGATGAAGCCGAAGGCCTCCGAGTGACGGTCGAAGAAGTACTCGTTCCGCTCCCGGTCGTAGTCGTCGCACACCTCCAGCACGTCCTGCTCCGACAGGCAGCCGTGCAGGCGGCTCACCCGCCGTAGCGGGAAATCCTTCAGCACCTCCCGGGAGAAAGAGTACCGGGTGCCCCCGACGTTCAATACCACGGCGGGGCCGCGGCCAAAGTTCATGGCTTGGGCGGGACGGAGGAGGGGGGCGGGCAGGGCAGGGCGGCGAGCAGCGGCGGGGGGCAGCGGCTGCCCCGGCTCCGCTCGCAGAGCTCGGCGACGGGCCGGGGGGAGGAGGAGAAGGAGGAGGAGGAAGAGGAAGGAAGGCGGAGGGCTCGGGCTCCGCTCGCGGGTGCGGCCGCGGGGCCGGGAGCTCCGCTCCGCACCGCTCCGGTGGCGGTGCCGGGCGGGCGGGAGGCGGGGTGGGAGGGGAGGGGACGCGCCTCCCCCGCGCCGCGCGGAGCCCCAGCCCTCGCCTCGGCCCCGCGAGCGTCCGCCCAAGCGCAGGAGAAGTTTGGGGTGTTTTACCCCGAAAAAAGCTGAGAGTTGGGATTCGAGCGCTGCTCGCACACCGCGGACGGCGGCTGCCCGGCTCCGTCGCTGGGCTCCTTCAGCCCTCCTCTCCTGCACAGCTGGAGAAGGCGGCTGCGGCGCTCCTCTTTCTCTCTTCTCTCTCTCTCTTGCTGCGCGGACGAAGTGTCCAAGTGTCAATCAGCGCCTTCAGCCCTCGTGCCCTCGTTCTTGTTCCAGCACGGCAACATCACCCCGCCAGCAGCTGGCAGCTCCCCAGCGCTCCGAGCTCACGGGTTCGCATCACGCGCGGGGAGTCCCTTCCCACCACCCTCTCACTGTCCGTTCGTTTCCCCGTCGTCCTACCGCAGCTTTCCCGGCCGCGCCTCTCCCAGCACGGCGCAACCCGTGGTGAGGCTGCGGGAGCACCCCCGGGTCCGAACGGCGCTCGCCGTCCCCGTTCTGTGTCTCTCGGTACATGTGTTTGTCTTTACGGTTGTTGTTGCCGCCGCCACGTTACTTTCACAGCCGAGGTTTGCACACGTGTGAAAAGAAATGGACGGCCGAGCCGTTCTGTAGCGGCGGCTGTGATTGAAAGGAGGAGGCGATGAATCCAGCCGTGCCCCAGCGCCCCGCCCGACCCCGCTCGGCCGCTAGAGGTCCCCGCGCGTCGCTGTTCTGCCCGAGAGCTCCGGGAGGAGCGGGGAACCACCCCACGCCGGCTGGGAAGGTGGGAAGGTGAGCGCGTCAGCTCCACATCAACGTCGTTCTGCTCTCTTTTGGGTATTCTTTTGGGCTTTTGTTTTTCATACAGCTGTAAAACTGTTTGCTTCCAGCAACTGCCGATTCGTGTGCTTTGTCTGCTCTTTAATTTTATAAGCAGCAAAAGCTTTTCTAAATCTCTGCACTTTTTTTTTTTTTTTTTTTTTTTTTATATGTGTGTTCCTGCCCTTCAGTCTTTCCGAAACAATTATTAGAATATTTGATTAAAGAAAAGAAAAGAGAGAGAATAGCAGAATCTGTTTGGAGCTGTGTCAGCAATCAGGCATTATCCGTGTGCCTCCAGTGTCACGCTGTGCTGTGCCTCCTGCTCTGTACACCTCACCGCAGGTTACTTTGCTGTGAGTTTGCAGAGGAGGAGAGCAGAACAGGCAGGGCCCTGTATGGCAGCGCAGCAGTGCGCCTTCAGGAGATCAATCTGAGGCAGACGGAGCTCCGTACACTGTGTGGCCCTGTGGCAGAGCAGGTAACATGCTGCGGTCACTTTGTAGCTTGAAAGTGACCCAGTGTGTGAGGCAATACAGGTTTCTATGTGTTTTTCAATTTTTCTGAATATGGTGATTTTCTCCTTTAGATGGATGCTGGTAAGCAACACTAACCTGATGACAGCAATGTCGGTTGCCATTTTCTTCCCTCTCTGTGGTCAGGAATGTTGCACTTCAGTTACTTTAGTTACAGTTACCACCTTTCAACAGTGATTTCCTGTAGCTAGATGGTGTCGGTAGCTGTAAGCCACGAGTTCCCTCACCAGGAACAGCAATTTGCTGGGAACAAACACTCGGATTTCAGTCAGGAGTTGTGATTTCCCAGAAAGTGTTCTGATCTGTGGCCCTCTGTGGCTGGTCGCATTGCTGTAGATATGGAATAGCAGCTTTATTGGTCAGCTCATGGAAGTTCAGGTGCTTTCATGGGAATTACTCAGGCATTACAAGTGTCTGTTCGGTGTGTGTCTTATTTTCCTGGAAGTTTTAGTGAGCAGAAAAACCTTTTGTTGTTTTGTGAGTGAAGAAATTTGAAGAACAGGATGGAGATCCTGAAAGAGACAGAGCACTTAAAGAGACTGAGTGTGACCATAAACAGAAACAAATAAGCATAAAATATAAGTGCAAATATAAGCAGAAGACACTTATAAAGGCTGTGGTTGGAGAGCTTAAAGTGGATCTCTGGTGGGACAGAGCTGGCTAAAAACCTGAAGTGCAGTGAAGCCCTCTCCCAGAGATTGATCGAGTTCAGCTCTCCAGGTGGTTGGGGGCTCTTTTCTCTGCGTGGCTCTTGTTTTAAAATGCTCTGGAAATACACACTGGCTGTTGTATCAAATCTGCACTTCTCCTGGCGTTAACAGTTGTATCATTTGCTGCCCAGGAGGAACTTCACAATTAATAGTCATTATGTAAAAACAGCTTTTTGTGTATCAACATTTATTTTCCTGGCTTGCTCTGTGCTATTGCCTCCTAAGGGTATTTAATGAACTTGAAATATTTTCTGCCATTTCCAAATCTTTCTGGCCTCATGCTGAGCCCATTGCTCTGTGTTTTGAGTGCAGCACTGTGTTTGCTCTTAAAAACAGAGGTTCTTTACTTCAGTCTTTTATTGTGAGTGAGTCGGCGTGTTTTGCTGGCAGGCTTCTCTCGTAACTCCAGGTCAGACTCTGCTCCAGTTGCGGAAGCTACTGATTGCCGTTAGTGCAGGCAGCATTGGCTTCTGCCAATGTCTTCCCTCAGGATCCTTGGTTGTTTTATGACCGCTGCACCAGAAGATCCAGCTGTGCAGCAGGATCCTCTAATGATGGATTTGTACATACAGAACTAAAGATTTTCCTGCTTAGGTAGCATGCAGTGTGTATATGTAAAATTTGGAGAGGAAAACTGTTTTTCAGTATTAAGGGACTGCTTTGACAAAATTTATCTTAATTACTTGAAGAGGCAATAAAGAAAGAATAGAACAAATGCTTCAGAAGGTTTGGTGTGCACAGATGGGCTGTGGTTTGCAGTTATCTTTAGTTTAGATCTTGGGAAAAAACAATTTCTGCTAGAACCATTTTTTAAATCTGGCTTCTCTGCATCAGAGTCCCAGTGCTTCAGTATGGTCTGTGGGCTACCTGGAAAACCTATGAGAAGAGAGCCTATTGCCATGTAGAACTGCAAACCAAAGTCCAATGACAGATGCAGTTGGGATTGTCAGTGGCACCTGACATGAGAGCACCAGTTCCCTTGTCACTGAGGCACTTATAAAAATCTGAATAATTTTGAATATGAATGTTTCTAAAAGTGGCTGAATGACATTTAGGAGAGAGCTGGGTACTCACATATATATACATGTGCACAGAATACAATCTGTGGTTGACATTTAGAATTAGACTAACTTATTGCATGAAACATGCTAACAATTTGGGAAATTTGGCCATGAATAAATGGATTTTATATCAGGAGCTCAGTGTGGGTCAGACTGAGCTTTTGTGGTATGAGGTACAACTGCATTCCCTGTTGTCTTTTACCTTCATGTTGAGATAAAGTCCAGCAGAGATTCTTGAACATGATACCAGGCTAATGATTGATGTTCATTACATTTCAATGATCAGAGGGTCCTATGAAGCCCTCTTAATTGGAGATGGCTGCTAGCTGGGCTCAGCCGACTTGCTACAGAGAACCACAGGCAGGAAGACACCAAGCACAGACAGGAGGATGTTGCCTGCCTGAGGCAGGTGATTAGAAGGAGACTTGCTAATGGGGAATTCAAAGGCATCAGCATATTTTCACAGGACAGAAGAACACAGGAATACATTTTCACACTACTGAGATCCATTGCAAAATGCTTACCAAGAGGAAGGGAAACTCTGCAGTGATGGAGAGAAATACTGGGACTTAGGGAAGCTGTGTTCAGGGGGAATCTATAGTTCACTCTGAGAAGAGGGAGAAAACTGGGCCCGATGAATGTGTCTAAGTTTTATTTTGTTGGTATCTTACATTTTTTGCATTAGCTAACATAAAAGGTTACTGGGACTCAGAATTCCAGGGCTGGAGAGTGTGCAGAGAGCTCCTGCAGGGCCAGCAGAGGCAGCATGGGACCCCTGCCTGCTCATTCATTGGCAGCACCAATGGCTAGATAGGAGAGACTCAACCACAGCGAGTTAATGCCCTGTAAGTACACTTCTACCAGATTTGTGAAAAAATATTCCAAAGAGAGGTTTCTGAAAATACTGGGTAACGTGTTATGTTCCTTAGTGAGAAATAGTATAATTTTCCATTGCAGGTATTAAAGCTCCTAGGGGAAGGAGATGTGACTTAGAAACCCTGTTACTGTTACACTTGAGGATACAAAATGTAATCAGTTCAACAAATTGTGTTCTTGGAAAAAGAACGGTTTGTCTTTTTGTCTAATCCTACATGTTCTCCCAGAAATTTCAGGAAGTCTTCTTGTTGACTACAGTTTATAAAAATTGTCATGTTTGCATACATTGAAGGATGTCTATGTAACTATTTTAAACCAAAAGAAGATGATCACGTTCCTAACATACTAAAACTGAAGTCAAATACAAAGAAGATGATCACGTTCCTAACATACTAAAACTGAAGTCAAATACTTATCCAGTTAAAGTTAATAAAACAGCAGCGTCTTTTGTTCTGTTCATAAAGAGATCCCTTTGCTTCTCAGTGAGGAGACCTGACCGGATAAAAATCCTCCTTTCCTGAGGCTGTGGCAGTGCTGGAGGATTCGGTGTGTTCATATACCTCCTCAGGACATTGGCAGACCCGATTCTGCAGTGCAGTGAGGTGTTAAAGCCTTTGTGTTGTAAGAGCTTCAGGAACAACTGGAGCATAGCTCCATTACATTTACAGGGAAGCCAATAAAGTTTCTCCAGCCTGAGTTTGCCCATAAGATGTTGAATGGAAGTTTGTCTCTCATTGCTATGCAGGTAGAACCTA